TAGGAACCACCCTTTGCTGCTTCACCTTAGTCACGTAGCTGCAGAGTACAGAAGTGCCTGGAGTGCCCCTGTGCAGCTGGTGGCCTCCACCAAGGCAGCTGAGGCCATCAGCCCGCAGCAACCAGGGCAGCTGCATGTCAGGGACTTGCCTTCACTTTGGCTCAGGTTGTGGGAGGAAATGCACAGCTGCAGGATTTCAGTTTCTAAGCTCAGCTGAGATGCAAACACTCATTGGAAAAAAGACTGGAAAGCAAAAGAAGCTGCTGTCAACAGCCGTGGCAGAGAGGCTTCTTAATGAGACGGTCTGGTGCTGTGAGGGACTCCCCTGTGATTGGTGGGCCCGGGCTGCAACTCACCAGGCACAAAGGAAATGAGTTTGTTCGACCTCCCTCCTGCTGGCAGCTGGCTACATGCAGTGAGCTGGTGGTAAGCACACATTGCTAAGTGCTTTGGAAAGGTACCTGTGAATGCAGGGTTTCAGGAAGAGTCAGGCTAGGAGAGACACCTGTCTCTGTGTGGAGGCAATGGAAAGGGTCCCCTTATTCCCAATAGGAAAACCTGTTTAATTTTGTGTCTGGCCACCCTGAGGTAGGTGAGAAGGAGAAATTACTTAAAGACTGGCAGAATACAACAAAGTGACAAGGAAGAGAGAACTGATAAACAGATTTTAAAGTGAAGTGGGGAGGAGGGTCAAGGAAAAGATCATTCATCTCAGCAGCATCCCATGACAGTCTCCTGTGTGGGCAACTGCAGTTAATCAGAGAGAAAACTGCACTGTCAGTTGTATGTTGAGGACCTGAAATCAAGCCCATGTTGCAAAAAACTGCCATGCATGAAACAGTAGCAGTACATTGATATTCTTCTGATCGCAGCAGAATTATCCCAGGCACCTGATCCCAGATGAAGAGTAAAGAAATATGGCAGTGATTGCGTCAGTGATTAAATGCCCAATTTACAGACTATCTAGGTTTTGTACTGTAGCTTTCTAACACAGTAAGTCTCCCAGTAAGAATAGTTTCAGACCAAACATAATGGTGTCTATGCCAAGAGGACACATGCAGTGGCCAGAATAGTGTTCTACAAAATAACTTTCCAGGTTCAAATTATCACTAAATAGACTTGTCAGAGATGAAATGGCCAAAATCCAAGCACTTTGTAGAGTACTTCATTATCTAAAGCTATCTAAATAGCTTTGTAAATCAATGCTACTAATCCTGATCAATGCTACTAATCCTGATCAATGCTACTAATCCTGTCTATCTTTATCTTCCTGTGTTTGTAAATGGTTTCCAGAATTAGTTGTTCCATTACCTTCCCAGGGATTGAGATAGGGCTAGCCTGCCTGTAGTTACCCCGGTCTTCCTTTTTGTCTTTCTTGAAAATAGGAGTGACATTTGCTTTCTTCTGGTCTTCAAGAACCTGTATTGGTTGTTGTGAGCTTTTAAAGACAAGTGAGAGTCTTTGCAGAGGCATTGGCCAGCTTGCTCAGCACTTGTGAGTGCATCCCACCAGGCACCACAAACTTATGTGTGTTCAATTTAGGTGCTCAGTAACCTCATCCTCCTCCACCGAAGGGTATGTCTATCCGGCTGCAGACTTTACGTCTGGTCTCAGGGGCCTGGGATTCCTGGAGGCCATTCTTAAGTGTGAATACTGAGGCAAAGGAAATACTGAGTACCCCAGGCTTTCTCATGTCATTTATCACCAGTTTCCCTGCCCTACTTAGCAGCTTTCCCTCGTCCTTCTTTTGCTGCTGTTGTATCTGTATAATCCTTTCTTGTTCCCCTTTACATCATTTGCCAAATTCAATTCAAGCTGGGCTATTTCTTTCCTGAAATCCCTGCATAGTTGAACAGCAGGCCCTGGATCACCAGCCGATGCTTCTGCCTCTTGCACACTTCATTTTTATGCCTAAATTCAGTGAGTAGCTTTTTGCTCATCCATGAGGGAGTCCTACTGCCTCTACTTGATTTTATAGTTTTCAGGATGGACCCTTCTTGAGCTTGGAGGAGACTCTTGAATACCAACCAGCTCTCCTGGACACCTCTTCTCTCCAGGGCTGTATCCAAAGGGACTCTTCCAAGCAGATCTCTGAAGAACTTTAAAGTCTGCTCCCCTGAAGTCCAGGGTTGAGGTCCTGCCTTTTGCTCTGCTGTCTTCTCTCAGGAGTCTGAGCTCCAGTGGCTCATGGTCACTGCAGCCAAGGTTGGCCCTGACCTTTCCATCCTCAACAAGTTCTCCACTGTCTGTGAGTTGGAGGTCCAGCAGAGCACTTTTCCTTGTTGGCTGCTCAATCACCTGTGTCAGGAAGTTGCTCTCAACTCCGTCCAGAGACCTCTTTGGTTGTGAGAAATCCTCAGATCCAAAGGATACAAAGATAAAAGTTAATATCTGAGTTAATATCTGAGGTCACATGCAGTCCAACCTGTGTTTCAAATAGTTGAGGAGGACAGAAACATCTATAGCAAGACATTAAAGACTCAAATCACACAGAAAGTTGCGCAAAACCAGTGTTCAGTTGAGCCTGTGGAGCTGTAAACCCACCACCATGGAGGTATTTGGGCTCCATTTTTAAGGTCCAGATGCATTAGAGGAATATCTCAAAGGATATTGAACATGTGCACTCTAACCTAGTTCAGAAACTTGAAGACATAAAAGTATATCAGTGTTCTCACCAGCTGTCAGGAAAATGTCATCTTTCCTAGAAACAGTCTGTGATTGTAGAATTTGATTTGTAAAACTCAGTACACTTAACCCAAAGGCTCTGAGAGGCTCTGCTTGCCTGGGGCATAGTTCATGACTGAGGATTTCAGTTATATCTTGGACATATCAGGTGAGGAATTGTGACAATAAAAATAGGTCTTCTGGGCTATTGTAGGAATTTGTAGTGACTGAAATGCAAAGGAAGACAAAAGAAAAATATGAAGAAGGATGTGCAAGATCATCTGGTCTTCTCTCCCTCTTTCATATTCCTGTCTTTTTTTTCAAAAGAAAGCACTGAGGGAATGGAGACATTGTTCTGCTTGCTAGCATTTTAACAGAGAAGAGATTTGTAGCTCCCACACAGAGACTGGCTGTGTTGACTGTCAGGTGAGTGCTTTCAGTAAAATTAAGCCTTCATTTTAAGAGCAGTGTTTCATATATCTACCTTTAAGAGACGGGAAGACTCCAGTTTCTGGATGTTGCAGATACGTGTGAGTACTGAAGTGATACAGTGATTGTTAACATTATATATTTAATAGTTGTCATAAGATGCTGTTTCTCCTCTCCTGCTGCAGAGTTCAGAGCTTGTGGTTCAAAGCACGAAGTATCTTTTTGTATGGCTTATCTTTGATCGACTAATGTTGTGGTGTAGTGCCAATATGCACAGTAGTAAGTGCCAGAATCCCTTGGGGTTAAAGATTTTATCGTGAGACCATATAAGGGCTGAGTAGCATCCTTTCGAACTTCAAATCTATTTCTATCATTGCCGTCATCAAAAACAGATGTGTGTCCTGACAGGTACAGTATCCTCTTCGGTGGCTCTCCAGGAAGCTGCTTGTACCAGTGCACAATGTCTTCGTTCATCAGTCGGCATGACATGCTGGCAGATCTGCCCTTCATCTGATGGTGCACCTCTGGGGTTTGCACTGGCGCTGACTGCATGTCTCCACCTGGAAGTGGAAGCAGAGAAATTATGTGAGGGGATAAGCTCCTGGAGTTTGGAATCAGTTCTGTACTCACTGTACACAGGAAGAAGAGGGGAAAGGAAAAAAGAGCTTACGGGACCAAAATAAAGTTTCAAGAAGGACTGGAAGCAGCAACATGCTGCCTGTGCAGATTATACCTGGAAATAAAGTAGAGACAGAAATGTTACAGAGCCCTTCAGGTGGAGAGAGCATCAAATGACTGGGAGGAGGAAATAACTCATGCAGCACATCCAATGGTTGTTCTTCAACTCACTACCACTGAGGGTGTTAAATTTACGAACAAGCTAAACCACAGCAGTAACAGTGGAGAAAGGACATAAAATACTCAATTTGAAAAAAATTTCTTCATCTATCTACCTACTACAACTCATTTCAGACTTACGTACTGAGCACACACATAAAACCTCAAGTTGTTTAATCTGGCCCATTCCAGGGATGTTGTCCTCTCCTCAGACACCTCAAAACTTCCCAGAAGCGTGTTTCACCAGTCTTTCCTAGAACATTATGAAATCATATAATAATAGAATGTTTTGTGTTGCAAAAGAACTTACAGATCATCTAGTTCCCACCTCGACCCCATGGGCAGGGACGTCACCTAGCTGGATCAGATTGCACAGGACCCCATCCAACCTGGCCTTGAACACTTCCAAGGGATTTGGCATCCACAACCTCACCACCCTTTCATTAAAGAACTTCTTCCTAGTATCTAATCTAAAGCTCCCCTCTTTTAGTTAAAAACTATTCTTCCTTGTCCTATCACCATCTACCAGCCCGTGTAAAGAGTCACTCTCCATATTTTCATAAGCCCCCTTTAAGTACTGCAAGGCTGCAATAAAGTCGCCCTGGAGCATTTTATAGCCTGTCACTAGTGGTGTCCCCCAGGGTAAAGTACTGGGCCCAGTATTGTTTAAACTTGTTCATCACTGTCTTGGATGAAGGGACAGAGGCCTCCTCAGCAAGTTCACTGACAGCACAAAGGGGGGAGGAGTCGCTGATACGTAATGATATTTAATGATATCTGTCTATCTATCTATCTATCTGCCTATATTGCTCTTAAAAAGAACGTGCAGCTGGTAATTTCACTGTGCGTTGAGGGTTACCAATACATAAAATGCCATATAAACATCCAACTGCACTGACTAGCCATGATCCATTTCTTTTGAAGATCCCTGTGTTCCTTTAACTAACTCTCTCAGGTTATTGCATGAAATAAGGAGTTCCTCTGGCAGTAGTGATCTGACAACAGCGAGGTGGTTGGGCATGTACTGGATGTAAGTGCCTGCCTTCCTTGATAACGGGGCTGTAGCACCAAATAGGAAAAATACAGCTGGTGGCTCTATTGCAAGAGAGTCCCAGTGGCTGTGGCAAAGTCAGGGTGAAGCATGCATTTCCACCAGCCAGCTATTTGCTGCCCCCTGCTTTTTCTTGTACTTTCCCTCATTTCAGAGCGCTGAAAAAATTCCTTGCAAAGACTTTACAGCAGATGGTCCCTTGGATAGCAGCCACCACACATCATACTCTTCCCTGAGAAAAATGTCATATTTTCTGACCCGAAAGAGAGAATTTTTAGGCCTTTGTCAATAGCAGTGTTCACGAATAAATCTCGTCTCACAGCTAGTACCGAAAGTTCATATTGTTCTGTTGTCCTTGTGATAAATACATGAATTTGTGTCAGGTCCTGTAGTGCAGACATATCTCTAATGAAAGAACAAAAAAACCACTTGCATGGACATGGGGTTGTGAATACCATTGTGAATACCACATAAGCGAAATTTCACTTTGGCTCTCCTCACAGCTGTCTGGCTGAGCAGTGCTGTGTTACCATTTCCATATCCCTGCTTCAGTTTGCCATTTTCCGTTGTAAAAGGTCTTCGCTATCCTTTCTTGGAACAGCCTTTTCAGGTGTTGCCCAGTGTAACAGATCCTTGCCTATAAGACAGAGTCATTATATCATAAGATGGGAGTGACTACTGATAAGTATCACCCATATCTGCAGGGTGGTGATGTTCCTGCATGCTGTCAAACACTGCAGGATCTGATTTCAAAAGAAGAGCAGTCTTTGTGCAGGTCCCCTATGGCTTTCTGTTGATGTGCATCCCACCTAGCGCAGTAGTAGGTGGCGGAGTCTTGCAGAGTTATTTTGCTCACTGTCAGGGTGCAGATAGATTTGCTGAGATCCTTCTCAATACTAAACTTCCCCTCATCCGACTGGTTTTCGAGGAAAATCCTGGAGGACATGTAGGCAACACGTTCTGGAGCTGCATTGGCCCTCTTTCGGTACCAGTGAATGAAAATGTTACTAAAATCAGAACTGGAGACGTGGCAGTTGATTAGCACTGTTCTGCCTTCTGGCTTTGTGATGGATATGGGGGTTTGATGCAAGTCTTGTGCAGAGCCACCTGTGGCAAAAAAAGAGAAAAATTAGAGGCATGAAGCTGAGATAAGAGAGCATACCCTTTGCCACCAGTGGAAGTGCAGGCAGCAGGATGAGCAGGGCACATACAGGAAAAAACAGCTGCCAGGAAGAAAGCGCTTAGCAACCACATTGTCACTGCTCTCCTTAAGGCTTTGTTACAGGGATAGGGTCAGGGCCAGCCTCTGGAGGGGGTGAAGCAGATCTGAGTGGCAGAAAACCATCCAATGAGGCTGTGCCAGCTGCAAGTGTGTTAAATAATGATGCACACGCCATTTCCTTTGGTTAACGCTTAAACCGAAGAGGAAAAAAAATCCAAACGCCACTCTTGTAACAAGAGAACTCACTACTGAGAAAAACTTTTTTTATCTTCTTTTTTTCCACAGAATTTTCAGAATTTCTGGAATTTTCTTGGATGATGAGTAGGGTCACCTTTTTTTTTATTCCTTTGCTTGTTTTAGTGTGATCCCTGTTCTCTGAGATGTATTCCCCACATAAGGTACTAGACAGAGATCAGCTTCATTTCTTAACTCTCTTACAGACTGAGCTGATGGAGACTCTAAGTGTAGGGTAATTTTTCATCCCAGGACAACACCTCTGAAAATCTTCTTCTAACAATTTATCCCATGACTATACCTCTGAAAATCTTCTTCTAACAATTAGTCCCATTCATTTTGAACCTAGAACATCAAATGTGATCCTGTAATATTGCTTCTACATGAAATCCCTGTCAACATTTGGAGTTACCCATTACAGCAAAGAAAACTCCAGTGTTTTCAAACTTTTACTGATGACTCCAGCAATTAAAAGAACATAAATATACATCAAAAGTATGCCTGACCCCCAAATATCTTCCATTACCTGGCCCTAATGCTGCTGGTTCTCACAGTACTGAAAAGGTGGGATTTCTCTCTGCTTACCAGGGCCACTGTCTTCACACTCAGGCTTTTCCCATGGTCTTGGTACCCTTACAGATTTTAGCAGGCAGGAATGTCTGTTTAGCTACCTAGCTTAAATGGTGATGTTTTGCGGTATAAATTTATATGACATCTACATCCCCTCAGAAGTCATGAGCTCAATTTCCTGTTCTTACATTCTCAAACAGGCAAGACAGCCTTTTTCAGAATATGCTTTCTATGCATCTCATGTAGTTTACTATCTGATTTTTTAATCAAAATAGTGAACACTCCCCAGGACAAATGCAGCACATGGGCCTAAGTATTTTTATATCAGCTGGCATTAATCAGGCAAACCAGAATCTCTTTAAAAAAAAAGTCAATACGGAGATCTGGAAACCTGCTCATGAACAGTCCTCTTCCACAGCTATCTCCCATCTCTGCTGCTAACTCATCCATTGTACATCCAAATGTGTGACAGTTTACTGATACTAGTGCTCTTGGGGTTCTCTTTTTTTAAAGCAGAAATCAGTTGCAAGATATAATTTTCCCAGCACCGCAGAGTAATTCCCACACCTCCACACTTCCTATTTCTGCCCCCAAAATTGATTTGAGTTTTACACCAAAAGTCCAAGGAATCTTCTTACATGTCTCAGTAGGATTTCAAACACACTCAAGTAACTGGAGACAGTCTACACACAGATATTTGTTTTCAGTCTTGCTTTACTCCTAATCAGCTTCTTATGAGCACAAGACTTTCTGCTAAGGAAAGCAACAAACCAACCATTTAAAACAAAAACAAACCAAACCAAACCATAAAAAAATTTACTCTTTCTTCTTGCAAACTCCAAATTCTAGTAGGGGCTTCTGTCATATATGATATAAAATCATATAATGTATGGACCTTCACACACAACTCATAGTGTTGAATGACCTATTAGGCACAAGTCTGTCAACAAGCAAGTCTGACTTTGAATAACTTAATCCAGCTCATTGTTGAGAACCAGCACATGGTTTGATGAGAACATTTGAGCCTTTTTTGAGACATAAAGGCTCTAGAACAGGTGGGACTGAATTCAGTGTTGGTAGTTGGTCTAAGTTTAGCTTGGAAATTTTAAGTCAACAATTTCATAATACTTTCTGCATTGATACATCTGATAGGTGTATCACAGGAACTATGAAGAAAATGTAAAAGCATTCAAATGCACAGTAATCAATTACAGTGACTAGTAAAAATTTAGGTAGCAAGGATTGCCTTCCAACAGCCTTTTTATAGATACTTCTATCTTGATAAAATATTTACCTTCAGGGCTGGATTCTTTCTCTGCTCAAAACTTGTTGGGGCGACATGAAAATCACGTCAGCTGCCTTTCACCAAGGCAGTCAAGATGGGGAGATGTGCATTGCAAGGAAGGAACTGTAAAGAAATGCATGAGTGCATTCATCAAATTTTAAGAGACTTTACACCTATCTGGAACACCACCACCATCTCACGTAAGTAAGGAATATACTCCACACCTCAGTCACCCCACCCCATTGCTCTCTGCTGCATTGGAGACACCTGAATGTAGGCTCCCACATTCCCTAGTTCTTCGACTGTGTCTTTCTCCCTTCCTCCCTTCCTTCCTTCCTTTCTTCCTTTCTTTCTTTCTTTGTTCCTTCCTTCCTTTCTCCCTTTCTCTCTTTCTCTTTCTCTCCTTCTCTCTTTCTCTCTCTTTCTCTCTCTTTCTCTCTCTTTCTCTCTCTTTCTCTCTCTCTTTCCTTCTCTCTTTCTTTCTTTCTCTTCGTCCTTTCAATTATATGTATCTGCTACCATTCAGGTCAATACTCAAGACACGACTGACTTCAGCAGAGCCAGCCCAGCCCTTTTCTCAGACCATGAAACAGCCAAGGTGCAGGGAGAGCACCATCTGGAGTTGAACCAAATAGGAGAGCATTGTGCCTGTCTTCTGGTTTACTACAAATGCTACCGAGGTAAGGGGCTCTTCCTCTTATTTCTGCTTGGCTTTGGCTGACTCGTTCACCTTGCAAAGTGCTGAGGACTGTCACCGATGGCAAGTCAGAAAACAGTCTTCAGAAGGGACTCTACCTCCCCTCTGTCATGGGTTGAGATTGCCCCCCCTGGGAGCTGGGGGGCTCAGAGGTGCCAGGGGGGTGCCAGGGCAGTATTCCCTGGAGAGCCAATCACCACCCGTCTTGTTCGCTCCTGCTGAAAAATCATATAAACACAACCGGCGGAAGTTGTTGGCAATCGGTTTGTCTGTCTGCTGCTCTGTGTGTGTAGGTGAGAGAAGGCCCGGGGGTGGCAGGGCCCCTTCTTTCCCCTCCAGGGGAAAGGGGGGCCCTGTGGCCCTCAGTTCTGGCTAAGCCAGGGTTGGAGTCAGCATTGGAGTGAGTGTGTGTTTGTGAGGAAAGAGACTCACAACATAAGGTAAGTGGGAGAGAGAGAGGCAGGCCTTGCAGCCAAACCCTCTTCCTCCCCCCCACCCCTTTTGCAGTTAGGCTGTAGAGGGGAGCTTCTCCTTTCCCTCTCACTTTAAAGTGGAGGGGAGCCTCAGCATTGGAGCCAAAGCGGATGGGCTAAATGCAGCTTGGTGCCAGGGAGATAACCCCAGGTGAAATTGGAGACGGACCAGAGAGAGGCCCAGAGGATGTCCCACTGTGATTTAAATGCAGGACAGCCGAAAACACGGAGGAGGAATGGAGATTCCAAGACTCGTACTGTGATAAGCTGAACTATAGCAGCACAGAACCAAGGTATGAGAGAGAGAGGATGACACAGCAGAGATGGCACGGAACCAAGGAGAAAGGACTCAGAGCTATCTTCTTGGACGTCATGAGGAAGAAAGGACTTCAGCAAACAGCTGGAGGTTGGTGGGGCAAGTGTTTGGGTTCCCCGAACACTCTCATGAGAGAGAGACTGGGTACCTATCAGCCCTGAAGGGTTTTGCCTGGACAGAATTGAAGGAGAAGATTAAAAGGACTGATAGAAGTGTATAATATTATATATATAGTTGCTTTTAGCTTGTATAGTATTTATTTGTGTAAAACAAATGTATATATACTTCCCCTTTCCCCTATAGAAGCCTCTTGCCTGCAAGTTTCTCTTTGGTGTTGAGATAAATTGTGGGAAGGGATGGGGGAAGCCTGGAAATTGGATTTTGGATTTTTGTGGTGGCTCAAACCACCACACCCTCAGAAGTGAAAATCTCATTACCAATTCAAAGTTTGTGAAAAGTAGCTATTAGAAGTGCAACTATTTCATGTTCGATGCAAGTGCATCAAAACAACTGTTTATTGTTTCATGATGTAGCACTTGGCTTACATAGCTATTAGATCTTTAAAGAAATTTTGCTGGTTTCCTGTATGAATAGCAAAAGAGTCGAAAGTGGAGGCCTGTTGCAACTGGAAACATTATTGCTTTCTGAGTGGGATGAAAAAAAAGCCCCAAACCACTTATGTAAGTTTATTTTGTAAGACTACAAAAACCTGTAGGATCAACAGCAGTGCTGCATAAGTCCAGGGCTTGTGCATCACTGGTTCTGGAGACATACATGCTAGAATTTTCTTACCTTGACCACTCGTTCCATGTGAGGTGTAAGAGGCAGCATAGGCTGGAAAAAGATGGACTGCTCTAGTAAAGATCCTGGTCTACCCTTTGGCTCTTTTTGGTTTATGTAGATGAACACAGGGTACACCTGGGAATGGAGTCCTCTGCAATTCAGCATCTGAAAAACATCCACCCTCTGATGCAAAGAATGATTTTTTTCTTTAAATATTTGCTTTATAAACTAATATGCAATAAAGTACTGAATGCTTTGTTCAGAAAGTCTAAATCTACACAGCTCTTAGCAACTCCAGAGGCATTGACTTCTCTGTTTCTCATCAGTGTTAGTTGTAAACAATATTCAGATAAAGACCCCTTTTTTTGTTAACCTCACAAAGTGCTTTGCATTCTTTAGCTGTTGCAGGAAAAAAAGCTTTTTACCTGTGGTTCTCACATGTCCAGACAAAGAAGCTGACAATTCTCCAAGCAAAAAGTTCATGGTGTTGTGCGATGTTTCCTCTGCAAACACATTGTTATGGCCAGTCTTTGCAAACGAAGATCCGGGAAAGGTCTCCACCCACATGTGTTCCAAGTGCGCTGGTGATACAGGGCTTTGCAAATGCGGGTAAGGCCTTCGAGCCTGTGCAGTGGATTTTTTAGGTGAGACACAGTGTGCGCTGAGCTGAGCCCACCCTTCAATCCTAAGGTTCATC